CGGGGGCCAAAGGCTGTCTTTGTGGCCAGCTCCATTCCCCTATCTCTTGTCCAAACTCTAAGGTGTTCTCTAGTCGCAGTCTAGATTGAGCACATTGGTTCAGCTGAATAACCTCCATCCTCAGAGTGCTGCAAGGAGCTCTGCACGGGTGGCTGGCCCCCCACGAATGGGTCACTGGGTCAGGTGTCCATGGTTGGTCCATTCAGAGGCCATCTCTGCTCCATGACCAGGCAAGACAGTCTCTGAGGCCCTAAGGGTGGCAGCCTTAGAGGGATTAATTTGTTCAGTGAGTGGTACACAGAATATTTACCAGAGGAGAGAGGACAATAGTGGAGAAAGGCTGGAAGATGTGAGATTGTAGGTTGAAAGATTTGTAGGATTTCTCATGTAGTGAGTTTTGGATTCAACCCATCATATTGCTTTAGTAGGAGAAAAAAAAGATAAATGCTCTTAATGAAATTTGGGTGCTTGCAAAATGAAAAATCATTCACAGAAGGTGGTCCTTGCTCACCTCTTAGGTCTTGTCAAATGCCATCCTTACACTCGACCTCTGTGCTTTAGGCACAAATTACTTCATAAGTTTCTTTTTTTTTATTTCCCCACAAGTTTCTTAAACCCACCCATCTGTCTGATCCCAGAGCCTTCCCACGCGCTGTTCCCTCTGCCTGGAATGCTGTTTGTCTGCTTGCTGTCCTCCTTCGAGCACTGTCCCAGGTGGCCCAGCCCCGCTGGCATCTCCGCCGCCCTCTGTGCTTCTCTTGGTCCGTGCCTGTCACTGTTAGTTGACAGGGCCTGATAGTCTGTGTGAGGCCTGTTCTCCCTGTGTCTTTGGGACCTAGTAGCACAGGACTCTGCACATAGGTACACGTCAGTACATAGTAAATGAGTGTATGAAAGCTATATAATCATCATTTGTCTTGAACTAAACATGATGTCCCCTTTTCCACATTCTGTAAACGTCTTTATCCTTTGTGAAGACAGGCATATCGATCAGGAACTTACTAGTGGTGATGTCGTGTTTCTTCCTTCTAGCTTTACTGAGGTATAATTGACAAAATTGTAGGATATTTAAAGTGTGCAGTGTGAGGATTTAATACACACGTGCATTGTGAGAGGATTCCTTCCAGGGGATATAATGTTAAGGCACACAACGAAAATTAGCTTCTTTGTTTAAAAAAAAAAAAAAAAAAAGGAATCCTTCCAGTGCCTCAGGGGTCAGTATAGTCAAAGAAATGAGAGGCCTGGACCCAGCCCTGAGCTCTGGTTTTTGTCTTTCCTTGATTCCTGCACAGCATTCAAGGATTACACACACACACACACACACGCACGCGTGTGTGTGTATGTATGTCTATATATATATATAATTACACTTTTAGCAATTAATAATGACTATGAAGTATATTAATTATTTAAATAGTCACCATTATAGCCCATATTTTAATTTCCCCAAGGCAGTGACCATTCTTGGTATAAACTTTAGGAAGGGGAAATACTTACTTTCAGAAAAGTGTTTTGAAATCCCAGTTTGTCTCTAGAAAAAATATGGAATGATCCTAGTATTACTACTGAAGGACAGTGCATTAAAAAAAAATATAGAACATACCAGAGCTTTGTTTAGTGGTTACAGTGCAGATAATCAGACTGGCATTTTTTCATTCCCCATCCACTAGATCGGGAGAAGACTCGTTTAGGTAAAAGCCACTTGATTGGCCCCTTGGTATTTCTATGACTATAACTGTTTATAGGATAAGAGTGAATGAATTCTTTTAATATACTATTAAGCTTTCTGGGTTACTTATATTGCTTTTGAATTTCAAGTGTTTTTCACCTTTAGGCTTTTTAATGACAATTATTTTGATCGAGTAAGATTTGTAGGTTTTTATTCTTCTTTCAATCCCCTTTATTGTGCAGTGTATGATGGTGGAGCAGATAAGATCTGCCCTGAAGGATGCAAGACACAGAACCTCCTAGCCCAGGGCAAGCCCCACCGCCAGCTGGGAGTCCTGGTACTGGACCCACTACAGCCACCCATCCCCTGGGGTAAGTCACCAGGCTGAAGTGGGGAGGCAGGAGGCCCTTCAGAGAGTCTACCCAAGGTGGGAGGCCTTGGCAATGGAAGAAGGCAGGGAAGCAAGCCACACACAACCTGGCCTCATCCCCAAGTCCTGAAGGAGCATCCTCTGGAGATGCTGCTGGCCCCTGCCCACCTGGACCAGTATGTTCTGCTCGGGGAAAGGTAGGGGGAGGCAACCGTGATCTTACATTACGAAGTGTCCTCCGGGAGGTCAGAGGCTGTGATTATTTGGTGGGCTCCCAACACCCCAGGAGGCCGTCGCTGCCTCTGAGTCAGTGAGGAGGTGTAAGCTCCCTCTTACTCACTGCACGTGGTACCCAATTCCCACTGCACTTAGCACTTCAGGTAAACCTGGGCCCCGTCCCATGTCCCGAAGGCCTCTTGCGTATAACCCCAGCTTTTCCCCCAGGAGCATGATGTAGTTTTAAAAAAAAGCACTAGACCAGAAATTTGGGGACCTGAATTATTTTCCTATGCAGTAACATCCTCTGTGACTCTGAGTAGGCCACTTACCTCCACGTCCTCATCTATCATGACATCTGTGGTTGTGAATATCAAACAAGAAATGAAAGCAACCCCCAAACTAGGCAGCATTCCAGAAAGGTCTGAGACAGTTAAGGATACCATCAATAGCCACTTTAAATCGTAGGAGATAAGGGGCAATGGACAGAGCACCCCAAACCTGAGAAAACCTAAGCCACTGCTATGAGATAGGTTACACGGGAAGGACCTGCTGGAGACACAGAAAAACCTCACCCTGGGTAGAAATCATGTCCAGGGTTTCAAACTTCCTGTCTGGAGTTTCCATTTATGAGGCAGGCTGCTGTCGGCACCCGGGCAAGCCAGCTTGCGTGTTCCATGGTAGGTGTCACCGCCAGAGCACAGGAACAGGGCGGTTCCATGCAGATCAGAATTCTCCACTGCCCACAAAGTGATGACCCCTTCGGCAGAGATTGGCCACATGCCTCTCCTCCCAGTTTCATCTCCAAGTATGTTTTTACAGCAGAGGGGAGGGAGCTTCCGGATGGTAGATTGATATATTTAAGTGACAGCCATTGTGCAGATTTTTAGAAATCATGCATGTGGCCATTTTATCCACCTAAACTTGGCCTCAGAATATTCCTGCGAGAGGCGGAAGGGAAGGGAGGTGTGGGGTGGAAAGAGCTTTATGGCCCAGCAGGAACACAGGGTACCTGGAAGCAGAGGGCACCTGGCTGAAGACTGAAGGATCTCTGATGATCAGTCACAGTGGAGCTGAGAGCTGAGCTCACAGTCAGGAAGCCCCAGCTGGGCTGTACCCTCAGGCCAGCAGGGGACCCTCATCTTTCTAGGAGAAAGGAAGGAGAGGGTGAGAGGATGAGGAAGAGGCCTGGTTTTTCCCAGTGTTAGGATCTCCATCCTGAATCCCAAAAAAGGAATCATGAAGGTGTTTTATGAGCGTTTGCCCCGCAGCCCAGAGAAGCCCCATGTCCTCACTTTCTCTTCGCCCAGAGGCCCATCCTGCAAGGTCGGGTGAGAACACACTCACCAGCTCCTGCAGTGGTAGGAACCAACTTTATACAGAGCAAGACCTCATTTCTGCCAGGGACGCGGGAAGAAAACTGGGCTGACTCAGTGCATCAGAATGTAAGTGGGTGGGAGGAGGGGGCTGGATGAATACAGCTTCTGAGGACAGTCAGTCCCAACCATCCCCTGCCCTCCCTGCACTCTTCTTTCCGTGGTAACAGGGCCTAACGTGATGGTTCTGCTAGAAGGTGGTGCTGACCCAAACCTCACGGACATCACTGGCAACACCACTCTCCACTACGTTGCCTTGTTTGCAAATACTTCAGTTACAGCAAAGCTGCTTTCCTACAATGCCAGTATTGAAACAAGAAACAAGGTATAATAGCTCCACTAGCTTTATTTACAAAATAATTTGAAATACAGGGTCTTCTTTAGCTACAGGTGTTACATTTATAATACGTATACTGAATACAGTACCTCAGGGCCTGTTACCATGGAAACAACTCCAAAACTAAGGCCGGGACTAGAGAAAGGTGGTGCCCACAGAAAGGGCAGAGCTCTGTCTCCCAGCCCCTCCTCTTCCCTGGAAGGAACACCGCCCCATTAGGAAGTGCCTGGGAGTGGGTGGTAGGCTCATAGCCCATGGAAGATGAAAGCTTTGGGGGAGTGAAGTGATGGTGGGGGCTGACTGCCTGCAGAGGCAGAGGTGCTACTGGGATGGGTGGAAGGAGGAAGGAGACCCAGTACCCAGCAGGGGAGCTGGGTGAGTGCACCTGGGCAGGGGAGGCAGTAGGCCACCGGCCCTGAGCATCCCAGGACCCCCAGTTCTGCGATCAGGGCAAATGAGGTCAGGTCATGTTTGACAGCCAACAAGGGTGTTCACTGGTGCTGGTGGCCACACGGCCTGCCATGTACACGTTGGAGTCTTCCACGCTCAGCCTGGTGCAGCTTCTCGGCGGGGCTGTGGCTACATATGGGGAGCAGGTGATGGCGAAGCTGGTCCTTCTGCTTTTGCTCTGGGACATCCGTTGCCTCCCGCTGCTGCAGCCCTGCCAGGAATGCCCTCCGCTGACATAGTAGGTGCAGTTTTATATATTGGAGGCTCGGGCACTCCCTGAGTGAAAATATTTGGAAAGAACTTTATTGTCTGAGATTTCACTTTAAATAATGAGATTTCCATCAAAGCATTAAAAGGCACAGCTTTCTTTTATTTATTTATGGCAGATATTTATGAAAACATTGCTTTTGTTGCAAATAAAAAATTTTTTCAAATATTTTTCCCCACTCAAAATTTCTTTGATTAGCATGAAAATAGAAGAAAGCAAAACTTGCCTTGGAAATAGACTGTCTTAATACTCAAACAAAAACAGCTGACAATATAATCAATCTTGCTGCTGTGGATAAGTTCCTGTTATATTTAAAAAATGATTTATATAAAAGTGATTTCTCTCTCATTGCCCAAGGCTTAAGAGGGAAGAAAGAAACAGACTGGAGAGAGCAGTTGAAATATGCAGGCCAGTTTGGAAATTGGACAATTCGGAATTACCAAAAGGAGGTTTTTGTTTTTGTTCTCCATCTCCTTCTGTTTATGTAGGTGGGCAAGCTGCCCTTCAGTTGTCGGGGATAATCATTCTCATTTTGGGAAAGAGGGAGTGAATTGTAAACTTGGGAGAGATCAGTTTTATGAGGACTCTGAGGAAATCACACTGGCGGGGAACAGGTGATGATTAAGTGGGAAGTAGGAGAGAAGAACAGATAATTAACTGGCCCAGTGTCCTGTTCTGGCAGAAACAGCCACTGAGATGAGTCTAGACTTGGCTTTCAAATCTAGGATGTCTTGATGGGGGAAGTAAGGAATGCATAGATAATAAAATCAAGTTGCTTCTGAATTGACTAGCCCCTGTTCTACCGCTGTTTACCCAGGACAATGAAATGCAGTTATGTTAAGTGACTTTTCTCTCTCACAGTTTTCTTTGTGCAAATCCTCAAATGAAAGAAGGAACTGGCCACGTGGGTAAGAAATGAGACTGCAGTGGTCGGTTGTCTCCTGCATGAGGTCTCAGAATTGTGCTGGTGAGCCACAATCACCTGGGAGAATTTATAAGAAATTTACAAGTCTAGGCTCTACCCTCAAGACTGTGATTGAATAAATCTGGTAAGGCCTAGACCATGGATATTTAGAAATAGTTCCTTGAGATTCTGATACAACCCTTGGTTAAGAACTATTGAGTGGATACATGTAATACCTGTAAATTCACAGATCTCAAAAAAAAAGACCTCTCTAGAAGAGTGGGAGATTTGACAGATGCTACTTCCTTCAGTGCTCTGCTTTCCAGCCACATAAGCCTGACTTTTATCCGTCTCTGCTTCTTTGCTTGACAAGTTAAAAGGAATATTATTGGCAGTATCTGTGGGCTTGAAGAATAACTCCTTTTTCCTTCCAACCACTGATCATTCAGTGACACTCAGTCTTAGAAATTTGCTTATGGTGAATGATTTAATAAGTAGAGCCCTTTAAGAATTTTGCACCTTTTGTTACCATGCAAGTCATTAGGCCAACAGGGTTTTCCTGACTGTGATCTTAGTAAATCATGACTTTTCTTTTGGTTAAAGCTGTGTGGCAGACTCTTGGAATGTATCTGTTAGATTCACTGAGCGCTGGCATAATCAAAATGCAGTTTTATTATTTTTATTGCAGTATAGTTGACTTACAGTGTTGTGTTTGTTTCTGGGGTACAGCAGAGTGGTTCAGTTTTACATATGTGTGTGTATACACACACACACACACACACACACACATACTTTTTCATATTCTTTTCCATTTTGGTTTATTACAGGTTATTGAGTATAGTTCCCTATACTATACAGTAGGACTTTGTTGTTTATCTATTTTATATAGAGTAGTTGCTATCTGCGAATCCCAAACTGGTCATTTTTCCCCCTGCAACCCCCTTTCCCCTTTGGTAACCATCAGTTTGTTTTCAATGTCTATGAGTCTGTTTCTGTTTTGTAAATAAGCTCTTTTGTATCATATTTTAGAGTCCATATACTAAGTGATATCACATGGGATTTATCTTTCTCTTTCTGACTTACCTCATTCAGTGTGATCATCTCTAGGTCCATTCATGTTGCTGCAAATGGCATTATTTCTTTTTTTAATGACTGAATAGTATTCTATTATATATAAGTATACTGTGCAAGATGGCAGTTTCAAACATCCAAACCCATGAAGTTAGTAACAGATGAGAATTGTTTTAATAATTTAGTTTCAGCCATCTTATGAACTAATTGTCCATTTGATTAAAAATAAGGGAAATTGTGATACAGACAGATTGTAGCTTTAGTAGGCGTTGGAAAAATTCTCATAGTGGGTATTATGAGTCTTAATAGAAATTTTTATGACATGTTGGGGCCCAGTTTATTTTCTGTAAAACATGATACTAAAGAAAGGAAAGGTTTTATGTCCAAATATTTGCTTTATACCCAACTGTTCGGAAACACAGCAAACAGAAAAATTCAGGTGGGCTGTAGACTAAATGTGGTGCCTGGGTATGTTCAGTTTGCCTCCACACATTGAATCAACATTTAAAATTTAGGAGACTCATGTAGAAAAGTGCATTTCAGACTTCTCCAAAAGAAACAAATCTGGTCCCCTTTGAGCCCAGGCTGCTGTGTGTTCTGCTGTGCAGAGGTGGCCCCTTCTCAGTGGGGCGTGTGTTCTCCAGTTTGCTGTCCTCACCTGGGACCTTCAGTTACACGGGTCACCTGCTTTGCCTCTGTAAGCATTTGACTTCACAATTCTTGTTTTACAGTATATTTTGATAACTATTTCAAGATTTTAAAGAATATTAATTTATGATCTATTTCATATTTTATAATCTCTTAAGAATGGGACTGAATTTTTCAAATTAGAATTTATATAAGTTGCTTTTAAAGAAAAACTTTTTCTTTACATGTACATGCAAATAATCATATTCCCCTTGGAATGTCTGTTAACCTGATGAGGTTGGTCATGATTGTAGCTGGATAGGTTATGCATATTGCAGACAGTCTATCTTTCCCCTCAGCCTGGTTTCTTAAAAATGCAGTTGACTTAGTAGCTAAATGGTTCTCTGTGGAGCTGTGTTGAGAGTTTTGAGAGTAATAGTAGAGCAAAAAGGTAAGTACAGGAATGCCTGGTAGACACTGATAGAAGGGAAGCTTCTTGGAGCCAGTAAACGTTT